GGGGGGGGGGGGGAGAGAAGGATATGGGTAGTTACTTTGTAATCTTAGAGACAAAAAGTTATTGATTTGGGTTGCTGGAATTGGAATAGGAGAAGAAAATAGTGTAGAGATATACAAAGAAAATTATTAGAAACTAGGAAATTCAGTCCTACCAATTACATGATACATTTTATTGATTTTTTTTCTTTTTCTATTTCTTTTGTTTTGGTTTCCTTTCCTTTATAGTTTATTCTTTTATTTTTATTTGAGAAAAATTAAAGAGTCTATTACCTTGCTTTGGAACAAAAGTCTAAAATAAAAAATCTTACAAGAAGAAGAAGAACCGGGGATGCATCTTATGTTTATCACCCCAACCTTTTACCATCTTTTCTCTTTTTTTTATTTTTATTTTTTGTTTTTGTTTTTATTCTTCATATTTACATATACTAATTTAAATGGGCCGGGCTATTTCAACTTTCATATTTAACTTGGATTACAACTTGACATGTTATTTCTGGCAAAGAATTTTAAATAAATATTTAAAATAATCCAAAAAGATGATAGTCTCCTTAAATATTTTTTGGTCAGTAAAGATTGGGTTTTTTTACTAAAAATTATATATATTAATATTCTGTCATATTTCTTTTGATGACCGCGCGAAGCACGAATTGTTACACTAGTTACCTAAGCTTGATTTCAAAACTAGTAGAAAGAATAACATTTTATTTAATTAGTTATATCTTCGACATGCCTCTTCATGTGCAAATCTAATTTTTGTAATGAGTCAAACACATAAAAAATGGTTGTGATAATGATATGGTTGTCGGGGAATTATGTAAATTATCTCATCTAAAAGTTTAATTTGTGCATTACGAAGAGACTTTTATTTAATTAATTATGTTGTCAATAAGTACACACATAAATCGTAATCAGTTGCAATGTTCAAATATTTTATGTGAAGATCGCTAAGTCTTGCTCGAGAAGAGTATACAAACAAATTGGAATTTGAAGTAGAGGAGCAGAGCTAGGAATTTTAGTTTATGGGTTCTACACCACATATTTATATATATATTTAATGAATTTTTTTTAATATAATCATAGGATTTGATTCAAAACTCTTGAATTCTATCGAACTCATAATTGTAAGGCTGGTTGACTAGAAGTAGACTCCAAGAGCCGATGCTGCTAATTTGAACTTCTTTTTTTTTTCCTTTCCTTTTGGAAACTTACTAGCAAGTGATTGATAATTCCAAGTGTAAGTTAGGTTCGACTTAACACAAAATCACATCTCTGTAACTAGGGTAACGTGGAGAAAAACAACAAGTTGGGATATGTAGTATTTATGGTGTTGGTTTGTAATTAATTATTTTAAAAGTAGCTACTATCCGGGGCGGATCCACCTTGCGATCTACGGGTTCACATGAACCCAGTAGTATTTGTCCAAAAAGTGTAAATGTATTTGAAAAATACACTAAAAATCGATAAATATTTGAATGTGAACCCATTTACTATTGAATCGTTGCGCCTCTGACTATTATTAAGGAATTAAAGGTCAGTATATACAGTGATGCAATTTAGAGCATCCGCTGCCATTACGGGCAGTAAAAGAGTTAACTGAAGTAGTTCTAATTTTATGGTAGTAATAGTTCCAGTTAGATCTGCTGACATATTACAAGGAGTTAATATATGCAATAAAATTTAAGTGCTGATAATTAAGTAGGTAATTTAAGTGCTGCATAGGCTAGCTGCTTCTATCAATAATCTCATCCACTTAATGAACACTAACATCAAGTGGTGGATGTAGTCTTAAAGCTGCAAATTGAATTGAATTCAACATTTTTTCATCGCGTAACATAAATATATATGTGAAAAATAATAAATGTTAAATTATGGACCCATAATTTTTTAAGATTGAATGCGTCAAATTAGGGAACATTACGCGACACATTAAATATTTACACTGTATTTATCATTCGTAGCTATACTTTCAGCAAATTTACCATTCGTAGCTATATTTGAATTTTATAGCAAATCGATGAAATGAGAGATTAATTATTTTGAATTAAAATAAGAGACCAATAAGCTCTTGTAACTTAGTTGGTTAGAGCACCAACTTAGTTAACGAAGGTTTTATTTTTCTGTATTTCGTCTTAGTTGTATTTGTTGTGCGAACAAATACTACGGGCTAGAATTTGAAGTAGTAACAAGGTTTACATACCATTTTCTACAACTTTATCCAATTACAGTTTTTCTTTAAAGAGTTAATCTATGCAGTTATCTATCCAATCGCTTAAACTAAAAAGAGCTGCAAGATCAATCATTTATGTATAATTAATGTATAATTTGTGTATACCTACGAGAAAAACTAAACATTGAATTCGGCAGTTATTAGTATAAAGACTCCTTTTTCTTTTAGGATATTTTCCTATATACTGAACATCTTATTTCTTGCATATCGGTCTGTTTTCATTATCAGCTTTGGCAGTCATCAGTTAACGGATCTATAAAAATTGTAGAAATTAAAAAAACAATTAGTTTCCTTCCAAGGTAAGGGAAAAAACAGTTTGTAAAATATCTTTTGTCGAGCATTTCTTCTCCCGATCTTCTTGTCTAGGCATATGTCTATGTGCTAAAATGGGATGATTATCCATTTATTTTTGTACTAGTTGGCAAACAGAAGAAACACATTTTTTCTTTTTCTCACTCTAGGGTGGTCCTTTTGAAATTAACAGTCTACCCTAGTTATGTAGCATCATTAAATAACATAATTACACAAAATCAAAATACAAAACTGCCCGAACGGCCAGCTGATTAACATTTAATTAGAAATAATTTGTTCATAAGTTATGTAGTCTAAACATTTTTTTAATTAGATTCTTTTAAGCCTATCGCGTTTATCTCACTAGGGGTTGGTTCCCCCTAGTTGTGTATGGAGATATCCAATATTATGGATGGAACCTTCAATATTGCATCAACACCCTAAAACCCTAATTTTCATCGCAACTCTGGACTGTAAAGGTATTTATAGATTCTAGAGCTCAGGCGAAGGTTTGAAACCCTAGTAGGTAGTAGCATAATAGAATCAATTTACTGAGCTGACTTTTGTATCAACACAAATAGTTTAACTCATCACTACTTCTTAAGGGCGTAGAAAATTATTTTTTTAATATATTTTTGCTAATTATCTTGTCGTAGCATACAATAGAATCCGTACACTCTTCTCCTAACCACTTACTATCTCCTTATAATATTCATTTTCAAGCATAATTGTAGCTGAAGTAAAAGACCCTTCCTTCCAATCAAATAACTTATTTATTCAGTTAGAAACTATTTTGCAATCTTTCTATCAGGCCTCCAAAATATTTACTATCCTGCTTACTTTTCTTGTTACATTTATTGATTTTCTGCAGCTGGTTGCTATTAAGAATTAGAGCAAAATAATCATGAATTCAAGTAAGAAAAATGTTGATCAGACAAATCAAGAAGCTGGTGGCACCAACAAAAACCAATTTTCAAGAACTCCATCTGGTTCAAGACAGCAGTCATGGACAAACTTTCAGAATCCAAGAATCGTGCGCGTTTCGCGTTCATTTGGAGGTAAAGATAGGCATAGTAAGGTATGCACTATAAGAGGATTGAGAGACAGGAGAATTAGACTTTCAGTGTCTTCTGCAATTCAATTATATGATCTTCAAAATAGGCTTGGATTAGGCCAACCTAGTAAAGTTGTAGACTGGTTACTTAATGCCACTAAACATGAAATAGATGAACTTCCACCATTGCAAATACCACCAAAATCCTTCAATCAATTCCATCAAATAGATGATCAGTATTTTGATTCTACTTTGAGAGAAATATCCAAGGAAATTACTACTACAAATGAGCAAGAAAACCAAGAAAGTAATCAATCTTCTTTTTTAGGCATGTTAAATAACCCTACACCCTTTAATTCCTATTATTATTCTGAGCCTAATACCTTCTCAATTGGAACAGAAGACTCCCAAAATAATGTATCAGGCAACATTACAATGCCTATTTTTTCAGGCTCTCAACTATATTTCCATCCAACTGCTACAATATTAACGCCATCTGCACATAGCCTAGACATATTTCTAACATGAGTTATGATCAGGCCAAGGGGTTTCGTTCACAAGAAGATACTGATCATTATTCTTGAAACTGCTGACTTAACAGCAAACATGGTACTGTTACATTTTTTATTCCCATGAGATACAGAAATACAGTAAGACATTTTATATATCTCTTGTTTGTTTAGACAGTTTAATCTCCTTAACTATCTGCATAACTTCAATATTATTTCGCTGACAATTTTATTTTAAAAATAAACGTGTTAAATGATTATTTAGATTTGTATCTTCTTTTTTCTTTGGTTGGAGTGGAGACATTGGTCCGATTTCTTCCTTTTACCCCGCTACGAGCTTTGGTTTAATTTGGGTAAGGCGGAAATTGAGGCTCAGTCTGTCAGGCCTCCACGTAATTTCGTCCAAGTTTCATCCTGGTCATGGATAGATCACTTTCTGGGTATTTTTAGGGGTACGTACGCGTTAAAACTTATTTTTATTAGACCATAAGTTAACTACCTACTGGTTTATATTAAATTTGTGGAACGATATAGAATTTAGAAGGAGAGAACAATCGCTTCTAAGAACAGAGAAGAGAGAATTAGGGAAGAAAATGAATCTTCATTTTTGTTTGTTTTCTACTGTACAGTAACGTGTCCTCTTTATACAAGTTAACCACTCTAACTAACTTCTAACTATGATTTGTTAAACTATGGTTAAATTATGTTACACCACTAACCACATCACTTATACTACTATTCTCAA